ACGTAGCGCTTCTTCAGCATCTCAGCTAACCTCTTCACACCATCGGGTAACGATACCGGCGTTGCGCTTGTCCGCGGCATCGATGAGCACGACGATGCAGGATCATCAGCTTGGCAATCCACCGAGGCAGGGGAATGATGAGCCTGGGAAGAGGAACACGACCTTGGTTCTTCTTTGGGAGATATCCCATGGCTGGATGTCCGACTCGGAGCAATATTTCCTTTGTTCTCCTCCATTTCACTGAGGTCAATCGAGTGACTAGAGAAAGGCAGCGAGCACACGACAGTCGCAAAGCCCCTAGCCCAGCAAACTCCAATAGTTTGCGGGCCAGGGAAGATTTCTGTTTAGGCTGAACACAGAATCACAGTATAACTATAAGGATAGATCTATGGCACAATGTGCGACTAGATCTCTGTTTGTCTTGGGTGATTTCCTGAACAATGACTTGACTGTTCTAATGTTTTGGTCACACTCACAGCCCTTACCAGTACTTGCCTGCTTGTCGTAGTACCTTTTGACGTTTTGTTGAAGTTTGGTCGGGTTGAGCCTTGGTAGACGTACTCACGTAGACCATGCATGTAGTCTTGTGTTGTAGACTGTAGACATACCGCTAGTCTACTATGTAGACTGTCCCTCTGCTGCTGCCGTGCTGGGTTTTACGTGTAGATCTATGACAATCATGATGTGTGTGAAGATCTACCAATACGGCGAACACCATGTCGTCATGGTCCACGCGCTCATACTAGGCACTGTCAATGCCATTGCCGGGCACTGTCAATGGCAATGCCATTGCCGGGCATTGGCAATGACTACTGCCACTACCATGACTACTACTACTACTAGTACTACTAGGCAGTCTGTCTGCATACTGTCCGTTCTGTGGCGAGCTAGCTGTCTTTACTGCGCTGCCCTCGGTCTGGCGCAGCCTAGCCTAGCGCCTCCCTACCTGGAGGCTGTACCTAGGCTGTACTGGTCTCGCGACCTCGGTCTCTTGGCCTCGGGTCCAGTCCTGGCAGTAGGCGCGTACCGCCCTACCATGCCTACTCTACTGACTATGCTTCCCGACTCAAGTGGTTACGGTCTAGTACAAATCAATACGCGAATGACTGTTGGGACATTCTTCCAAAACATGACGTCACAGAATTCGTAAAAAAAAGACAACTTTTGTCGCAAGCGCGCGGCTAGCCTGTCGCGCTCGCGAGACTCATCTTGGGCGCGCTCGAGCTGCGAAGCGCGACACACGAGCGCGACCCAAACTGTGTCACGTGTGTGTCGAATCTGACCGTATTATGATCGCCTTCGATTATTTATTTTCGTTCTACTAATCCGCGATATTCATGTTAAAACAAAATGGCGTCACGATTTATTGAAAGTGGTATAGTTGGTGGTGCGAGTGTTCAAAACCATTTGAACTTCATACTGTTCGTCTTCTTTTTGACATGCTCTCTTTCCATCGTCCTTAGCTTTTGTTTGTTGAGAGCTGTTTTGGCTTTCTCCTATACCTCTGGGGGATGCCAAGTGATGGTTTTGAGAGGCTGGTGATGGCTGTGAGCGAGAGTTTGCCGATCGGCGTCGTCCTCGCTATAGCGATGAAAATACTAGTTACTGCGCACCTGGCAGATATCACAACACGTCGGAGCGTCCAGGAGCAAAGGAATATTGGGTTTTCACTGGAATCTAGTTCCTCCAGCATCGTGTAGCCCACCGTCGGTGAATGGCGGTCCAGAAAGGTCGAACCTGGTCTTCTGATGCATCTCGCAGTCCTGCGAGGCACACTGAATACGCCTGTCATGTATTCTACAAATAAAAATCACGAAGTAGTGGACTTTACAGTGATGAGTCTATCCTGTATGCTGCAAAAGACGCAGGAAGTATGACTGGTGTCTGTACACTCAGTGACTGGACGCCAACACCCCAGTCTTCTCCTGCAGGATCTGTTTGATATTGACATTATGCAGTAGGTCGGCATTGACCTGGTTTGGCAGCTATCGTAATAGTCATCTGCCTGGTTGGATGTAGCAGGTTGGTGTTTGCTCGTCGTCCAGTCCGGAATTTTCTTGTAACTCACGGTGGAGTACACGCAGTGTTTGTGATCATCCCTGTTCACTTCAATATTATCAAACACAACGTTCCCTTTGTCACTCATCTTATCCTGAGTACTGAATTTGCTGACAATATTGCACCACACTTGTCACAACCTACCGCCACTGCTGGCGGTGGCGACTGGTTCGTCAATGGCGGTGACCAGGCCGACTGACTAGCTTCGAGACAGCGGCCTCGTTGTCAACCCCGCGGCAGCCTAAAGGTTGATTTTATCGATCCAGCCTCAGCGCCATGTTGACGATGCCCTAGTGACTGTGTGTCATGGATTGCCTTGCCATCAGCGGTCATTGCCGTCCACCTTGGTGCAGCCGTCAACAACTGGCTCAGCCCATGGGAGTCTCAAGTGGACAAAGTTGTTGCCAAAGTAGCTCAGAAGATTGGTGCATCGTGGTGTAGATGAGCACATAACTAGGACTTCCCAGCGCCTATTTGTCCAGGCTGCGATACTATGTGACATGCTGTACTGCACATTCTTTTCAGCACTGCAAGGCCGGCAGCTGGACTGACTGCAGGGGCCGCGCACATGCAGGCCGCCTGTTGCCAGTGCAGCATTCTGGAACGTTCCTTCCTTCTAAGATCCGTGGAATAATAACTTTCTTTGCTTCAAAGCAAGTTGCTTACCTTTCTGTTGTGCTCCCAGTGTCCTTACAACAATAACCTACAGCAATGTTTTATTTTCCTTTCCATTCCCCAACCAATGAATACTACGATGTCGATTCTATTTCTGAATACTTTAGTGTGTGCCCGCGGCACGCACGTGTGTGTGTGTGTGTGTGTGTGTGTGTGTGTGTGTATCATGTGACCTCACTCGCCACTCGAAATTCTGTTCCCCATCACTGGAACACTGCCTGTTCTTTCAGGACCTGCCATCATCTGCGGATGGGCATTCAATGATTGTATTGTGTGTGTGTGTGTTTCATTCAGAATCAGATCCGCTATCGTTGCTATAGGAGAAAATCTGTGGGTTCACATCCAGTGCATTTGTAGATTTGCGTGCTTTTCTTGCCACGGGCGCATACATGGGACATTGTGTGTGTGTGTGTGTGTGTGTGTGTGTGTGCGTCTGTGTGTATGGGGATATTGTCTGTATCGGCTTTTGGTACTAATGTTCAGGTCTGTGCTTGCATGTGTGAACATGAAATTGTTCGGTTCTGTGCATGCTATTGCTATGTTGTATATCATTGTATGTATGTGTGCATTTCCACGAACAGTGTAGATGAGCGCGGAGAGTGCATTCATCCCTCATCAACCACTTCCCCTTGGGCTTACGAGAGTTTTTTCTGCGTACCTTTCATTTTTGTTTGTTTCTCTCTGATACCGTATTGATGCCGGTACCTGTACCTCGATGTGTTCCTCTATCTGCAGTCACCTTTAACCTTCGGTCAAGTTGACGTTTATTGTGCTCTATTTATCGTGCGAATCAAAATAAACAATAATAACACAAGTCGTGCTAGAGTGACGACATGTGCGTGTAGTAGGGTTGATGCGATGGGACTTTATAATTAGGTGGAACAGAACACACATTGGGCAGATTGATTGGGCATCATTGATTGTGCTCAGTCTAAACAGTGAACATAAGAATTATCTCCAGTGACAGACTGTAGCGGCTAGCCTCCAATAGGTAGCTGGCACTAGTTGCTACTGCTTGTTTGACAGGTGCCGCCAGAACCCCTGTTGTGTCATGCTATAGATGCACATGCCCTATTCTGGGGCATACTGAGGTACTTTGATTTTGTTGACTGCATGTAGACAGCATCCAATAGTAGTACTCGTAGACCTTGGCTCTTTGTAGGTCAACCACCATCGCATGGATCGATCGGTGACTATGCACTTGGAGGTTGGAATAGCCCGCGCTGAACAGATCTTGCCATGGCCCAGGGAGTGAACTCGCTTACTCGACTATCCCGGTTTTAGTTAACCAGCATGAGTGGTGCAATTTGTCCATACCATGTTGCGAGCTCACAGTTGTTTGGGCAGCTTTTGAGCTGCACCACCAAACAAAGCGAAATAACGGCGTGACTGTAGAGCAAGGAAGCGGCGAGACGGCACTTCCAGGACGAGACAGGCAGTAGAGATGTGTTCACAGCACGAGCAACCTCTCAAACCCTGCCGGTACTCCACAGTTACAAGAAAATGTCGGACTGGACGACGCGCCAATGCAAACCTGCTACATCCACCCAGGCAGATAGCTGCCAAACCAGGCCAATGTCGACCCACTGAAATCAGAATACCGGTATGTCAATGTCAAACAGATCCTGCAGGAGAAGACTGGGATGATATTGGCGTCCAGTGTACGGACACCAGTCACATTTCCTGCGTCTTTTGCAGCATACAGGATAGACTCATCACTGTAAAGTCCACTACTTCGTGATTTTTATTTGTAGAATACATGACAGGCGTATTCAGTGTGCCTCGCAGGCCTGCGAGATGCTGCAGAAGACCAGGTTAGACCTTTCTGGACCGCCATTCACCGACGGTGGGCTACACGATGCTGGAGGAACTAGATTCCAGTGAAAACCCAAGATTCCTTTGCTCCTGGACGCTCCGACGTGTTGTGATATCTGCCAGGTGCGCAGTAACTAGTATTTTCATCGCTATAGCGAGGACGACGCCGATCGGCAAACTCTCGCTCACAGCCATCACCAGCCTCTCAAAACCATCACTTGGCATCCCCCAGAGGTATAGGAGAAAGCCAAAACAGCTCTCAACAAACAAAAGCTAAGGACGATGGAAAGAGAGCATGTCAAAAAGAAGACGAACAGTATGAAGTTCAATTTCAAATGGGTTTGAACACTCGCACCACCAACTATACCACTTTCAATAAATCGTGACGCCATTTTGTTTTAACACGCATACGGTCCATTCCAAAAATCAGTGCCATTGGCTAGCTTTGCCCTTGAACTTGAAATCTCGTGCCTTATTCTTTCCTGGGGACTGGTGTTGGATATTGAACGGGCGGAGTGACCGCCGGGATGATGGATGAAGGAGATGATGGCCTAAACTTGGCTGCGCGCATTCTCATTTTCGCGTGGCCTGCCACTTGTGTTTCGCAGATTCACGAAGGGTGTCACAGGCATAGCTGGAGGAAGAAAGGTGAGAGAATCGGTTGCACAGTGCAGATCAACCCAACCATTTGGTTGTTTTAATTTTACTTCGCACAGTCAAACGGGATGACCACCCAATAAAATTTCCGAACGTGACATTTTTGTAATTTATTGATTTTCCCGCATTATACCACAGTTTATTGTTCAGGTTATTTCGCTTCAACTTTTGAGGTATGAATTCCTTAACTGCAGACTCGACATGCAAGCTCCATACTGACCAGGCTGTGTCAACATCAGGTCACGGCTTGTTTGACTTTGTCCGTTAGGCTGTGTTTGCATAGATATTCTGATGGCGTCAAAGACAGTTAGAGATTTTGTTGGTCGTGTGTCGGGGGTATTGTCCCCGCCGAAACTGAATGCAAGTTTAAGAAAGACTAGGTCTAGTGAGTTATGATCAGAAGTGTCCTGTGGGTCTAGCCCTCGGCCCCTCTGCGGCAAGCAGTAAACTATATTTACACCAAAAAGCGCAAGACAAGACTTGATTTTTTACGCGGCTCTTTTCACCATGATAATTATTGTACACGTGTTTTGAAAATTTGAAATACTCATGGCAACTGGTGGGTGAATCATTCAAAAATGCAAACGTGCCCGCTGTTGAGTGCAGCCATGTGAATCCACACAGTCACTTTTCTCGTAAATCACTCGCCGTAAAACGTGCAAGTGGCTGTCGTGTGAATCGCCTATAACTGACTGTCTGCAGTTGTCGAAGTATTTCCCTGCACTCACTGTACTTTGTTAGAGATGTTCCGCATAACGTAATTACGTTAGTTAAAAAATGTAGTCGATCTACGGAAAGTCTTACGTAAACTGCATGCGCATCTGGGTTCCGCCATACGGAGTTTTCAAATCATAGCAGACTCAGCGGAGGACGTTCAGGTATTACCGGTATTTTACGACTCCCTGGTCTACAGTACACTACACAGTCAGTGCAACAAGTGTATGAAAGTCCCGGCCTGGAGCAAAAAAAAGAAAGAAAAAAAGTACGAATAATCAAAAAAATTAATTCAGCCAGCACTCTTGACAACCCTACTCCTTTTTGCCCGAGGACGGATTTTTTAATTTTTCGAAAAATACAGACGACTCCTTACCTGTTCATTGGTTGAGGGAAAGATGCAAACGGGAAAACGTCTGAAGAAAAAATTGACTGGCGCCACCAGGACTCGAGCCAGGCGCCTTCACTTGAGGGCAGCGGTGCTCTAACCCTTCTTTACCGTTGAGGTTCAGTGTAAAAAGGTGTGACTAACTGTACTGTTTACAATGCGGCAGTGTGTGTGTGTGTTTGTGCGTGTGTGTGCGTGTGTTTGTTGTGCACTGCAGGTTTTCTGGCTGATTCCTCCGACCCCAATCAATCTTCAGATCTATGAGCAGTGGGTGTTGTCGGGTAAACAGCAGGATATATTCCTGGGTGACATGGTCGAGAAGTGTGCCCGCGTCGAATTGAAACCAGGCTGGACTTTTGTCATTCCTACTGGTGAGTGAGATTGTGTAAGTGTGTGTATGTATGTATGTATGTATGTATGTATGTATGTATGTATGTATGTATGTATGTATGTGTGTATGTATGTATGTGTGTGTGTGTAAGTGTGTGTAAGTGTGTGTATGTATGTGCCAGCTAGTTCGGTTGGTTGGTGCCTTTATGCCTGATTGTGTTGGGTCTGTTGCCAACGGGCTCGGCTGCTTGAAGGTGTAATGCGTGTGTGTGTGTGTGTGTGTGTGTGTGTGCATGTATGTGTGTGTTTGTGTGTGTGTACGTGTGTGCATGTGTACGCGCGTGTGTATGTGTGTGTGTGGTTGTGTGTGTGTGTGTGTGTGTCTGTGTTGCCACACCTGCCGACATGTCAGTAGCCTGCTGATTTTGGAGGCATTTCACGACCCGCCGACGATTGACCTTTTCCTGCCGACAACAGACATGAAAATGTCCCGTTCTGACGTTATGCTTCGTTTAGAACTAAATTAGAACATAATAGAAGTCATGTTCCAGATTTTTGCTCTTACTGGTCATCGTGTTTGTTTTCATTGCTCTCTCCTATGGTGCTAAGTGAAATCATTATTCTGTCTCGGGGGAAAATCTGATAGCTCAATCTGAGTTTCACGCAGACCCGTGATTTTTTAAAGGGGAGGTATACCCTAAAATCAAATTTTCACCAGTTGTAGTCTTCGGGGTGCTGAGTCGAATGGTCTTGGTCCGAGGAAGCTGCGACGCTCCCTTCCTTCTTTTTTCCCAATCGAACTCGCGCACTTCCACCGAAACTGGGTGACTGCGCCCTACTAGATGGGGATTTGTATGCAAAATGTCACTAAAAGCGCCATGTCATTCTTATAAAAGCACGGATGACCGCGATTGGCCCATGTGTTGTAGTCGTTTGGACGCTGAGTCGACTAGTTTTGGTCCGAAAAAGGCTGCGATGCAGCGTTCCTCCTTTATTCCCAATCGAACATGGTTGAACAAGCGGTCACGTGCTCCAGGGTGCCCAACTCACCTGGTCACCGCGCCAGCAGGCGACAACTTTCACACCAAGGTTCAACTCGAGTTCAACTCGAGTGACAGGACTGCACCCAAAAAAGGTCAAACAGGCTAGTAAGTTGTACCCTGCAGGCACGGTGACCAGGTGACTGGTGTACGCGGGAGCACGTGACCGCTTGTTCAACTCAGCGTCTAAAAGACTACAACATATAAAGAAGGAAGGGAGCGTCGCAGCTTCCTCGGACCACGACCATTCGACTCAGCACCCCGAAGACTACAACTGGTGAAAATGTGATTTTAGGGTATACTTCCCCTTTAACAGTGCGCTTTGTGTGCATGTGTATACTGGGGTTACTATGATGGGGGTCTGGGGGCAAAAAGCCCCCAGATGATGCATTTTATTTTTTCATCCTACTGATATTTGGCCAAAGTGATGTGGCAACACTGTGTGTGTGTATGTTTGTTCGTTGACAGGCTGGATTCATGCAGTTCACACTCCTGTGGATTCGCTAGTGTTTGGTGGAAACTTTCTGCACAGTTTCAACATAAGCGGTCAGCTTGCCGTGGCGGACATTGAAGAAACTACTACGGTACGTGAGCTCCTGTGCATGCAAGTGGATTTCCTTGCACTTCTCAGTTTGGGAAATGCTCAATTATGATAATTCTGCGTGCGAGTGCACTAGCCCTGAACATACATGTAGGTGACCCGTTTGTGGTGTCTCATAGCCTACCTCACGACCTTCTGCTTTCTTTCTGCATCACTTGTATCTTGCAGGTATATCATCTCGTGACGACCACATTTATGTCTGAATTTGAAGTGCGAAGATGCTTCAGCAACCACATCGTACTTTTCCATTGCTTTCATTGTGCTTCTACTGTGCATGTGTGTAACTTGTGGGGTATATATGTGATGACATTGTATGCTGGCGACACGGTCAGATTTTGTCCATGCGTGTAACGTGCACCTGCATGTTATGCATTGAAAAGGATCTGCCACTTGCGATCCTGGGACAAGTATCAGGTCAGCTTTGTCTTGTGTGGGCTGTACCAGATTGCTGTTCACTTTTCCATCTGTTGGTGTCATGCAGGTTCTCACACGCAACGGGAACACTTCGTGGTAGTAAAATAGATATTTCGCAAACAACAAAAAGGCAACTCTTTCTCTTCCTTTCGAAGAACCGAACTAATTACTTGCCGAGCCTCATCGAAAAACAAACCCACTCTGAAAAAGCCCTACACTACACTAGTACGGGATTCAGCGCAGAGCAAAAAATAATCATGAGTCATTATACAATGCATGCAGTGTAGCCGTGAAAACTGGTGAATAAAGAATGCAGTAGGTTGGCAGCACGTGACCCGTCGTACCGCAGTACGCGACGGCGTCGCGGCTTAGAAATGAAAGGAAACACTGCGAGAAAAGACAAAACGAAAATACATGTCCCTTTGTCAAAACTTAGAAGAAACAAACAAAATGCGACCAAGAATCATTTTGAGAGTCAACGTCAATAGTACTCTTGTGCCGTTGTGCAAATTCTTGTCTTGCATTGTGCAACGCAAGAAACAAACAACCTACGAAATAACTCGTGAACTAACTGTAGGCTAAATCACTACATGTACGCGAAATTGCGTTCCAAAATAAACTGAATTTCTGAGACATTTCATATTTCACATCCTGAGGGAAATATTGAATAAATAGTAAATACATCATAAAAAAACACATGGCCACGACGGCCTTCTCAACATACCCCCCTCCTTGATACATCCGTATCAAAGAATGAGTAAAATGAGAAAAGAGATCGAACTGACTAAAGATGGCGATAAGTCCATCTAAAACATGCGTACGGACTGTCAGCCTTTCACAACCGGACATAGCCGTACAACTGACCTGGTTACCTGCTTGCCTCCGACCTGGAGCTTAGCGACACGCACTCTGCCGTCAGAACCAGGGTAGACCTCCAACACCCGTCCAAGAGGCCACTTGCCACGGGGGGTATCAGCTGACACAACGAGGACGATGTCACCAACACTGAGATCCGGGTACTCTTTCCACCACTTGGACATCCATGCTGTCACTCCAGAACATGACATTCTCCATTGCGATGGCGAGTGTCTTGGCTACGGACACACCAAGACGACATCCGATGACTGCTCTCATTAGCTCGAGTCGGGGGATGCTAACAGCTGATAACGGCGCCACTTTGGCTCGAGCCATGACGAATCGACTGGACCTCGTACCATCCTGGTACACATGACAGAGATAAGCGACTGCTCCATATGCATCTTGCGAGGCATCGCAGAATACATGTAGCTGAGTCTCCACCACGTCTTCATCACGTTGAATACACCGGTGAACTCGGACATCCTGGAGTGCATCCATGTCGGCACACCACTTTTGCGCCTCTGCGCCTAGCTCTGGCAGCAGAGAGACGTCCCAGTCAGCACCTGCTAGCCACATCTTCTGGAACAACATCCAACCAACTATGGTGAATGGCAGTACGAATCCGATCGGATCAAACAATGTGGCTTGGTTCTTCAAGAACGCTCTCTTGGTGACAATGTCTGATGGCGGCTTGACATGAATCAGGAACTCGTCTTCCTCTGCTCGCCACTTAACTCCGAGAGTCTTGGTCGTCGGCAGGATTCCATTAGCGAGGTCCACTTCCTTGGCTCGGTCCTCCTCGGGGACTTCGGCGAGCACCTCAACATTGTTGGAAATCCATTTTCGCACATGCATTCCAGCGAGACCCCACAGCGCCGTAAGCTCGTGGTACAGCTGAATCGCTAGCTCTGTTGACTTTGTCGAGTCCATTGAATCGTCCATGTACGTGGACTTCAACACGGTTTCTGCTGCCGTAGGAAACTCCTCCTGGTTCCGCCGCGCATGCTCTTGCGAGACCAGTTGAGCTAAGAATGGAGATGCATTGATCCCGAACACCACTCTATTGTACTGGTAAACGGCCGGTTGGTCCTCCGTATCTTCTCGCCAAAGAAATCGATGGAACTGTCGGTCATCCTCTTCCAACTCGATTTGTAGATACATCTCTGCCACGTCGGCTACCAGTGCGTTTGGGTGTCGCCGAAACCGCAGGAGAACGTCTGTGAGGTCCCGTTGTAGTTTGGGCCCAGTGCTGATGTAGTCATTCAGACACTTGCCTTTCGTCTTTGCTGCTGCATCAAAGACCACACGCACCTTTGTGGATGTAGCCCCAGGTCGTACAACAGCAAAGTGCGGCAGATACCAGCCGTCGCCATCACTTGCGTTGCTGATCTTGCTGATATACCCTTGTTCTAAGTGACGGCGAATCACGGTTCGGTATTCCTCAGCGACGTCTGGCTCCTTCGCCAGGCGTCTCTCTGCTGCGATGAGCCGCTTCATTGCAGTTTCTCGACTGTAGTTGTCCGGAGGTGGTCTCTTGATCCACGGCTCCGAAACCTGGTATCTTCCGTTCTTGTAGGTCATCGACTGGACCGTCTGATCAAAAACGGCTTGATCATCTGCACAGAATTCGTACGACTGGGGAAGTTCCTCCACCTCCCACATCCTTCTCACCAGTGCATTCAGGTCGACGTCCTTTCCGAAGTACGTGCGGGTGAAATTTGTCGTCTGTTGCGGTCTGGTGCTCCTGCCAACGCATGTCCACCCGAGTGGCGTTCTGCGTGCGAATGGCTCATGAGCCTCACCATAGACTTCCTCCATGCACCTGTGGAGACTAGCGTGGTCAAGGCCGATCAGCGCCTCTACTCGCTTCTTCTGGCATTGCGGAAACTCGATGCCGTTGAGGTGCGGATACCGTGTCTGATCTACCGACCAATCATGAGGTGTAAGGTTACCGGTGACATTCTTGGCAGTCAGAGCAGAGAACTGTGTGATAAATCTGCCATCCAGACTCTCGATGTGGCAGTCGACTGGCATGGTCTCTAGGGTCTCGATGCGGCCGTTCAGTGTGCTCACTGACACTTCTTGTGTGGGAGCGCTAAGCTCTAGCTGTGCCGCAACGTCGCAATTAAGGTAAGATTGCGTGCTGCCGTCGTCCAGCAGCGCGTTGACCTTGACATTCTTGTCGCCGTGGCGAAGTATGACGGGAACGGTTCGCAGTGCGACAGCTCTAACGCCGACACTACTCATATGTGTGGCCATGGAACTGGTGTCACCCCCCTCCGTGGAGGCGCTAGACTGGAGCACTGGCTTCTGTGAGGCTCCATTCGAGTCTGTAGTAGCACTAGACTTTCCGTGCAGCAACGCGTTGTGGGTCTCTGTACAACCGTCGGCACCACAGGGCTGCGACCTGGGACAGTTATTTCCCAAATGACCAGAGTTAAGGCAACGGTAGCAAAGCTTGAGCGTCCGGGCCTTCTGCCAACGCTCTGCAATTGACAGCTTCCGATACTCTAGGCATTTCCAAACGGGATGGATCTTCGTGCAGATCGGGCAACTGCTGCTGCTCTGGGCCTTCTTGGGCTTGTCAGCGAAGAATGCCTGATGCTTCACTCCACCATGACTGGCCTGGCCCTTCAGCGGGTGACTCTTTGCTGTTTGAGTGGACCCTACTGGAGTTGCCGTGGAGATACCTTGGATCGTCTCCTGGGCTCGTACTTGGAACTCGCTTTCCAGCTCCACCCATTGCAGAAGCGCTTCGACAGATTCAGAGGTGCTTGTCTGGTGTATCCACTTCTGGTAGCTCAGCAGAAGAGACACCCCCAGCTTCTGTGTTAGCCGGACATAAAATGTCCCGTTAGCCAACTCCTGTGTCTGACCACTCGCCTTCAAATTCACCACAGCGACATCGAGTAGCTCCGCAAAACGCTCCAACTCCTGGGCGTTTGCAGATCTCATCGCTGGGAACTTCTCAAGGGCTTCTAGATGCACTGCAACTAGACGTCGCTGACCACCGAACTTGCGTTCCAGCCTACGTCGTGCTGCCTCATACGCCTCGGCCGAGTAGCCAAGAGTGTCGATAGACCGTAGTGCATCGCCCGCGAGGTATTTTCGGAGCTGCAATAACTTCAGCCCATCCGGAATGTTAGCGCAGCCAATGCACATCTCAAACGCCGCCTTCCACGTCTCATATTGCCGCTTGTCGCCCTTGAACGTTGGAATTGACACTTTCTCTAAATGTCGGTACAATTCGATTCTACCAGAACTACTCGCTTGCACTGGTAGACCACTCGGCGATGTCATGGCAACTGGAAGACTGCTCGGCTGCACAAGACCATAATCTTCACGGTGTGACGCGTGACCTGGCTGACCAACTGGTATTTGTTGCATGACCGGTTGGGTCGCTGGTGGGGTAGACATTATTCCAGACTGATTCGGCAAGGCGTGCGTCGGGAAGTCGGGTGCCGACAAGAAACCCGGTGGTGTTCCAAATGAGAATGGATGTCCAGAATGGGTCGGCGGTGGAACGTACAAATTTCCTGATCCCGGCACAAATGCAGGTGTAGAAGCCGAGAGAGTATGACTTGCAACTGCACGAGGCTGCACAGCTGGAGTTGGTTGCGTCCCACGAGGAGGCTGCACTGCAGGAGTTCGTTGCGTCTGGGCTGACTGCACGAGTATGGTCGTGGCCGACAATGCTCTGAGTGGTACGCTGACCCCACTTGAACTACGGTTAGGGGTAGTGATTACGTTTCTTGCCGAAGCTGCCGACGTAGATACCGGTGCCTGCTGCATGCCAGACTGAGCAATGCCACTTGGTTGGTTACTCCCTGCAGACTGATGACCAATGTTCAGCGGTGTTGCCATGGTTTTGGCGGTTGCCATGGCAACCGGGTGAACTTTTGACAAGAGCTCCGCCGTAAACGGTAACGTAGGTACAGACGACAAAGAGACCGGAAAGGACACCTTGATTGTGCGTGACTTGTCTGTACTCACATTGGTTGCCATGGTTGCACTTGACGACGACACAATTGGCTGGCTGTCACTGACGCTTGCCGTGTCAGCCCCAAGCGATTCGTCCTGTCTATCATGATGGTCACCACTTGGAGTTCCCAGGGGGAGTGCCGATGCATTTGCTCCCAGAGGTGCTCCCGAGGAAACGGCAGGCGGCTGGGTAGTCCCCTCAACCCTCGCACTCTGGCTGACACTGGATGCAGACACATTCCCAAAACGACTGAGACTCTTCTCAGCACACATGTTCTGTTTTTCCTCAAGGGCCTTGCAAGGAGAGTGTGGCGGTGTCAACATCCTCCCACTTGCTCTGGGATTCTCCAAGCTCTGCGTCAACATTGCCTTTACTAATCTTATGTTCTTGGCTCTGGTGATGGAAGCTGGCGAACTTTCACCCGTTCTGGCTCGACTTGGCCTCTTGCTTATTTCTGCCAGCACGTCGCTGGTCTTGCTGACAGCATCGCTGTAGTCGACGTTGATGACCTCTATCTCCTCGTGCACTTTTTCTGTGGGTAGTCCTAATAGATGACTTGCACAAAGATTGTCTGGGTTCGAGACGGGGCAAGTGGACCTTCTGACTCTGACTTCCCCACCTTTTGAGTTCGTGACTTTCGAAGTTTCGCTTTTTGCCTGACGAACACTGAGCTAGTTTTTTTGGCTAGAGAGTAGAGTTGTGTTGATTCGGCTTGTATCGTCATGTCGAAGCGCTGCTGCGCTCCTGAATGCACTAGCAGACGAGAGATGGAACTGAGGCTCCCATTCCAATCCCAATCCCAGGCAGAAAAATGAGGGAATATTATTTTAGTATCATCGGTGTAGGCTGCAACAAGCACGTCGTGGTCCTGAAGTGTGACTACTTTCCCGCAGTGGAAGCGAAGTCAAGCACGACGAAAGTGGACGTGAAAGAACTCGATTCCTTTTGATTCGGCTGCACTCCAGAGCGACCCTCTCCTGAGGACAGACTGCGGAGAGGCCAGGAACCTGCCGAGTCACGAGTGGAAGCACAAGCCACGAAAATGAAGGGTGGAAGGACTGAGTGTGAGAGCCAGATGGCCTTTAGTAGTACTTCAAGTAGTATCTGAGTTGAAGGAGAGAACAAGTGTGCTGGAGAAACGCTGCGAAGTCCTCAGGCCTGATGTGTACTACATAGCTACTGTTGAAGTCTCACTTGCTCCGATATGAAAATTTCATCAGCCCTGACTCTGAGCAGCAGTATCTAGACTTGGACTTAGGCCAGAGGCATAGCATTGTAAACCTTACTGAAGCCATATGTATCCAATGCCTGGCTCTAGTGAGAAAGCAGTTTGGCGCAGGCTCGCCGCAAACTATGATTGAATCAGGTTGTGGTGGAAAGTCACATTATACCTCTCCAGGGGCGTACATAGGGCGGTTCCCGGGATGCCCGGGAACCAGTAAAAAAAATTCGATATTGGTACAGAATTTTTTTGGATCCAGCCTTTTCAGGCCCAGCGCTCGCAGTGCACGTGCAAGTGCATGCATGGCGCCTGGAGTCCGCGCCTGACCATGCTGACGCGAGTGACCATGGTGACGGTCCGAGGACTGTGACTAGCCCAGGTGTGAAAGCGGTGCTGGGACACAGTGTACTGGACTGGGTTCAACAAAGTCTCTACATCGCCGGATTCCTCGATCTCAGAGTCAAATTTCCTTTGCAGTTTGTTTTGACGAAGTTCGTCGTGTTTTGGACGATGCTTTCGCTTTGTGGAAAAGAAAAATGAAGCATCGACATCCAGAGGGCCAGCACTCTATTCAGAGCTATTTTGAGCAGCAGGCAAAGCGTGTAGCCAGTGCTAGTGGCGAAGGTCAAGAGATAGATGAGAATGGAGACGCACCTGACTTGCAAGCGAAGGCTGCATGCATCGAGCAGCGCTGAGGAAGAAATCGTCGGCGAAGCTGTAGAGCGACCGTTGTTACTTCAGTGACATGGGAGTGTGTTGGAAGGGATATGTGTTCGAAGGAATATTCTGAAAGTCGACGTCCACAGTGGAATCCAGTCCCCCGACATTTGCCGGACACGGAAAAGATTTCCGGCGTCACCGACAATCATTGTGCGCCACCGAAGGCGAAGGATTTCATTTCCTGTGCGTGTCCAGATGGATGGCAAACAGCGCCACTTTCAACTATCCTTGTTACAGGAGTTACCTTGGGTAGTCTTTTGACCGGCGTGCAATGGTGGCCTCTGCTTGCCCTGTGTGATGTTTGCTCCAGATGATTCGAAACTTAGGCAGCTTTCAAGACTGCACGCAATCGTCATGCTGAACAAAACATCCATAAAACGGGGAAAAGTTCAGTCTTTTAAAATCAAAAATGCGTAGCAATGACATCGTATAGCAGCTTGTGGATGAAAATTTCACCCAGTCTGAGGAGAATAAGCAGAAACTCCGTGGGATACAATTGTGTGGAATGTTGGTTCATCAGTTGGCATGGGAACCACTCCTGGAGGCGAGCGGCGTACGCCCCTGCTCTCCATGATTAGCTGGTAATGACGACGATGCGGCTCCAGCTGGGTCTCATGGGAAAGTAACTTGCATACCTGTTTTGTTGCAACGAGGCATTGGTGCTCCATGTACTGAAGACATGATTGAACTACATGTTATCTTCTCCTGGGAGAATGTGGAACAAATAATGCCAGAGTGTGTCTGATACACATCACAGTCTGCTGAGTATGTTCATTATTGTGGACGTGACAGAACTGCGCTGTGAGGTACCTTCTGCATTGGACCTACAGTTGAGCCACTACTCTTCTTACAAATTCCATACAACGGTGAAAGGATTTGTGGGAGCATCATCAAACAGTGCATTCACCTTCATCATACACTGGCTCTGTTGCCTACAGTAGTTCACATTTTGACGGGGCGTGCTGGGACGATACGGAAGGAGCGGCGGGAACCATTGGAGTGCTCATGATGCTGGTTAGCGGAGACGGATGTGAGTGTCAGGAATGGGAACGCAACCGCACTACTGTACAAATCAGGAAGCGATGGAAGAGTTGAATCTGTTCAACCTTCCATGCCATGTACAGGGACACAAGCGTAAAAATGGCTGCATTTCGAATGTGAACTGGCGATGGCATTGTGTGGCGACGAACACAACTGCAACTCCTCAAAATTTCAGCTTCTCGAACATTATGCTCCCCATGATAACTCACCGAATGGCTCACATGACGGAGTTGGACATTACCAGGCTAGGATTATCATTTGCTGTATTTATGGATAGTCCTTGAGTTTTCAGATGAAGTGCATTATCTTTTACCTGTCGTTCCTTTAGAATGGCACAATGTCCATGGCTGCTTTCTTGTCTTCATAACGGACTGGTATGATCAGCATGATTCTGCTTTATTTGAGAAGAAATAAAACTTTCCTTTCGGAAAGGAAGCCCAGAAACGTCAACCCCCATCGACTTTGCTTTATGACTCTCGCCCATCGACGTTAGCCGTCGCAATAGCTGCTGCATGTATGTTGTGCTGTGCGAACCGTACAAGATTGTACAGCTCACCCACGCCTTCCCGCCAGTGCCGCCACGCCTTCCCAACAGGCTCCTATATCCCGTACCGTTAGCGTTACATTGAATGTGAACTAGGCTAGCACATTTATCCTTCGTTCTTTTGATGGCGGCGGGTAGCATGGAACTTGAGGTGTTCTTGGGATCCTCGTGCAACACTTGCTGTTCCCGGATGCCATATTATTGGGTGCATCGAGGTTGCTTCTATGCTCACTGTTGTTTGGTAAGACAATTTTTTTATAACTATTTGTCCGAAGAATAAGGCAAGAGTATTTTGGGTTGGTTTGGACGCCTGGCTTCTCTTCACATAATATACAGACGTCAGTCATGTAGTGCCACTTCAATATACTATAGCACTAACCATGCTAACCCTGAAAGTGCACATCATGCATGACTCATGAGCTGCTGAAGACAGTGACGGTCGGTACTGATCATGTACATGTACATGCCGTGCACCGTTCATTCATGCTGACAAAAAAAGTACACTACAGTACTCGTACAGACGGTGTAGGGTGCCCCCAGTGTAGCCTGGGTGCACAGGGTGCACTTGCCCCGTCTCACTCGCGGCTGGGATCTTTGTGCAAGTCATCTATTCTGCGTACCGCGTTACCAGTTTTAGACACACATCCACAGCGTTGTGAACACTCTCAGTCACGTCATCCAACAACCTCTTGATCTCTTTCGAGGTCGCATCCTCTTCGTAGATCCTGCTGAGCAACAAGTTTCGATTTCGTGTGACATGGAACTTGGCCTTGGCCTTCGCTTTCTTGCACTCCTCAAGATCCATGTTGTCCAGCGAAAACCCGAAATGCTACTCACTACCACACTGCGCTTGGTGAAGGAACCACTACTTGACAACCATCCTCTGCTACCAATTTGTCATGCAGGTTCTCACACGCAACGGGAACACTTCGTGGTAGTAAAATAGATATTTCGCAAACAACAAAAAGGCAACTCTTTCTCTTCCTTTCGAAGAACCGAACTAATTACTTGCCGAGCCTCATCGAAAAACAAACCCACTCTGAAAAAGCCCTACACTACAGTACGGGATTCAGCGCAGAGCAAAAAATAATCATGAGTCATTATACAATGCATTAGGCCTAGCCCAAATTTGCCGGCAATTCTTCCAGCAAAATATCGAAATTTCCCACGAAAAGAAATTGCCAGCAAATTCCGAGCAAAATATCGAAATTTACAGAGGATCCGGGTGTGTTTTGGCAATTTTATTCTAATTTCTTTGGTTTCATTGGGCCAACGTCGTGCTGAAATAGCTCGTGCAGGTTGTCAGGGGTACATAAATTTGAAATCATGCTACAAAATCCGTAATACTGACACCATTTCCAGTTTTGCTTTCCTCATCAGAGTCACCATCCACTTTTAGTCTTTTACCAAAGTAGACGGTTCATTCGAAGCTATTTTTGCCACAAAGCAGGAGCAAAATGGAGCAAAATATCGGAAACGAAAGGCAATGCCAAGCAAAATATGGAAAGTGCTTGGGCAAAATTTGCCGGCAAAATATCGAAGCGCCCCGAGCAAATTTGGGCTAGGCCTACAATGCATGCAGTGTAGCCGTGAAAACTGGTGAATAAAGAATGCAGTAGGTTGGCAGCACGTGACCCGTCGTACCGCAGTACGCGACGGCGTCGCGGCTTAGAAATGAAAGGAAACACTGCGAGAAAAGACAAAACGAAAATACATGTCCCTTTGTCAAAACTTAGAAGAAACAAACAAAATGCGACCAAGAATCATTTTGAGAGTCAACGTCAATAGTACTCTTGTGCCGTTGTGCAAATTCTTGTCTTGCATTGTGCAACGCAAGA